CAAGGAAATCATTAGCGTGAGGAGGACATAGCATAGCCCAGCATTTTTATGGGATGGTTGGCAAGTCGTTTTCTTGTTTGTTTAAAGATGTATTTATTTATCTTGAAAGAGTTAGAGAGAGAGAGAGAGAGAAGGAAAGACAGAAAGATCTTCCTTCCCCTGGTTTACTCCCCAGATGGCTGGGATAGCCAGCACTGGGCCAGGCTAAAGCCAGGAGCCAGGAGCTTCTTCCAGGTCTCCCTAGTGAGTGCAGGGGCCCAAGCATTTGGACCATCTTCCACTGCTTTTTCCTAGGCTATTAGCAGAGAGCTAGATCGGAAGTGGAGCAGCTGGGATATGAACTGGTGCCCATATGGGATGCCGGCATCACAGGTGGTGACCTTACCTGCTACGCCACAATGCTGTCCCTAGCTGGGAAGTCTTGGCATTGATGTGGGGGTATTCCCAAAAGCCAGTAACAAAGAAAATAGGTATTGGGAGATGAGGATGTTGTGAGGGAGACAATTAGAGGAACTATGCTTTGACTTTTTGGCACTTAGCTCTGCCTTACTGAGTTCTGCTTATATTTGTTCCTTAGACTCAGGGGAGCAAAGAGGATTTGGTCCAGTTTGGAGCTAATGAGCTTGACTTCCCTGCTGTTTTCCATGCTGCCCTTTCTTCTGCTTCCTACCTGATGACTTCATTAAGTAAGGTTCCTGTAGCAAAGCAGAAACTGAATGAAAGCTCCCTGGACTTGGGACCCTGGTCAGACACGCATGCTTCCCACCCCTGTTCTTTTGTACACTGTACACACCGATTTCTCTTGGATGGATCTGCTTGCAGAGTGTGCTGGTTCCTCTTGGAACCCTTCCAGAGTAGGGAGTTTGTCCCTCAGATCTCTTCCTCACAGATCACACACACACATGCCACACACAACACAGACCACACTTCTGCAAGGATTTTGGTCTGTGAGTAGTAAGAGTATAAGTTGAACACCAGGGATACAGCAAGGCTGCACCCTGGACTTTCCTCTCAGGTGAGCAGGCATCTTTGGTGTGGAAGGGATGCCAGACCAGGAATTAGAAATCCAGATGCTGGGGTGGGTGTTTGGCATAGCAGCTAGGTCACCACTTGCTATGCCCTGGTTCGAGCCTGGCCCACTTGGGATATGCCTGGTTCCTCTGTTTCCAATCCAACTTCCTGTTATTGTGCACTACGGGAGGCAGCCATGATGCTCAGGTACATGGGCCCCTGCCACCCACGTTGGAGACCTTGGATGGAGTTCCCTGCTCCTGACTTTGGCCTGGCCCAGCCCTGGCTATTGCAGGCATTTGAGGAGTGAACCAGCAGATGGAAGATATCTCTCTCTTCTTCTCTCACTCTCCCCACCCCCGCTGCCATTCAAATAAAATGAAAATGATCATTTAAAAAATATGTATGGGAAAAAGAAAAGACCTAGGTGCTGCCCGCAAGCTGGAACTCACGAGCCTGTGACTTACTCCTGGTCGTTGTTCTCCTGCCATCTGTGCCAGACATGGGCCACACCTCTAAGTTCTCCTTCCAACCAGAAAAAGTAGAGAAATCCAAAGAAGAGTGAGGAGTTCTCCTCCACTAGACCACTGACCAGCTCTGTCGCCCTTCTGCAAGGCTGAGGCAAGGACAGGAGCCAGACTACCCCCCCGCCCCCCCCCGCCTTCCCTAGTGTCTGCTTCTCCCTCTCCAGGACGCAGATGCTTTTCTCTATGCGCTAGAGTTTGTCTCAGCCTCTCTTCTCACTGTTAGGGAACCACTTGCTCATGTGCCTGCGGGAATAATAGCTGCTAAGGGCTCATTTGCCAAAGGAGAGTCTCCTGGCACTCAGTCTTGACCCTCTGTTTCCATCCCTGCCCTCTGCTATTTGTAACTGACTCTCTCCTTTTTCCCAGGTTCGATCCATTAGCACCAACGTCCGGAGAAACCTGGCCTTCCACACACTCAGCCAGGAAGTCCTGCTCAAGGAATTCTCCACTATCTCCTGAGAGCATACCAACCTGAGCAGCCACTGACTGCCCTTACCCATGATGCCCCTGGGCTGGAGGGGGCACGAGGGAAGAGGGGGCTGCCTCCAAGGTTGGAGAAAAACACAGATACCAAGTTCTCTTGGTGAAGGCCACACTTCAGTGGAGCTTGGACAGCAGGGGCCAAGAGGGGCAAGCCAGGGATAATCTTATTTGGGGAGGAATGGGTGGGCAAGGGAGAGGCCTCAAGAACGGGGGTCTTCCAGGGAGGGCTCCCTGGACACTCCCTCACATTTCCTGTTGAGATTCAAGTTGTGGCTACTTTATTTTCAAGAGCTGGGCAGGCCTCAGGGTGATGCCAACATCCTGGAGGCCAGTTGCTTTCCTCGGCTTCTGAAAACAGATCAACTCTCAAAGATGGCCGGAGCCTCCTTCTGTTTCGTTTAGGCCTGAGGCTGAGCTGAGCCTGAGCTGTCCCCTGCCCCAGGCTGTGCAGTCACCAGGATCCTTAGCTCAGGCCTAGGGGCGTGTAGGAACGGGGTACATCCTTTCCTGTTCCAAATTCAGAGTTGACTCCTGGGAAACTGATGATTAGAATCTGCCCGGTGCTCGGCTGTCCAGCCACCGCCTTCTGAATTTCAGTTTTGGCACCAGGAGTTCCTGTTGGCTCTCCCTGCCTTCCAGTCCATTGACTCATCGGCACAATAGGCTCACAACCTTAGCTCTTCGTTTCTACTCGGATTCAGACGTCTTTAGGGTGTGTGTGAAATCAGCACTGACAGGTCTTCTGGAGCCCTCAAGGTGCCCACTTTGCTGGTTCCCTTCCCAGAAGCTTCCCCCTTGCCTCGGCCTCCCCCTCCACTGGGAGCTTCTGCCCCTGCTGAGCTCCCTCCTCCTCGCGTCCCGCCCCCTCCCCTGCTGTTGTTTACATCCAGCCTGCCTGAGCGTTTCCTCTGGGGAGGAATCTGTTCCTGCTGTGGTCTGGTGCCTGGAAGGGAGAGCACCTGCTGGAGGCAGGGTGCCCTCCATCGGAAAGAGGCCCGGGTGAGCACCCTACATGGGACCCGCATCCCGTGTGTCCATACTCTTGAGTGGGGCCACAGGCAGATGCGACCTCTGAGGAGCTGGCCTGTGGGTCCTCCCTCGGGTAGCCTCCACAGGACCCCTGCAGGCCCCCCCTACTCCATAGCTGCTACTCCAGGATCCTCCCTTCCTAGAGTGCTTTCTGAAGCCCCTCGAGGGCAGGCAGCAGTGCAGGAACCCAGCAGTCAGGGCAGCTCTGGGGCCTCCCCGCTGCTGTCCATTTAAGCCTCGGGTCTCCTTGGGATCCTTACCCTCCCAAGAACCTGGGAGTTCTGGCTCCAGCATTAAGCAAGCAGTTGTGTGTAGTTCCAGAGAATCCAGCCACAGGCTGCCATGTAGAGAGCAGGTTCATGGCCTGGCTTAACTTCTACTGCAGATGGATAGCTCGGTTTGGGGCATGCATCCCAGTGATAAACCCCAGAGCGGCTGGATCTGGGGCTGGTGGCAAGTTGCAGTTATTAAAAGTTGATTTGTGTGGGACAGTCTTTTTAGTGTCTTTTTTTCCCCCTTAACTTCTGTTGCCCAGACTCATTTATCAGAGACAGAGTTAGGATAATCTGCAGGTACTGGTCCCATCTGGCTCGAGGACTCCTGCCTGTCTAGCGATTCTCCTCTGAGTCTTGGCCCAGCAGAGGCTGTCTGGCGTCGCTTGCCCTCCAGGTGGGAGGAGGGAGATGGGAGTTCCCTTGTCTCTAAGCTGGGTAGTGCTGGGGCTGGCCAGCCCTGTTGACTGCTTCTGGGTTCCAGCCAGTCTTTCCTATATGGTGAGCAAGGGCAGGTCAAGGGCACGGGCACTAAGCAGAGGAATCTTTACCCTCCATTGTCAAGACCCTCAACATTGCTGTTCCAATCTCCAAACTGCAGTCCCCGTCCTCTCCTGGAAATCGTCCTCAAAAGGGGCTGCCATGCTCTGTCTGTGCCCCTGGCCTTTATGCCAGGACTGTGAGGACTCTTCTGGTGCCTGGCAGAGCGAGGAGTGGACTTTCTCCCTCCCAGAAACAGTTCTTCCTCCACTGCTAGTCCCTCTTTGATGTGGAAGCTCCTGCCACAATTCCTGCTTGGTTGATTGAATCAAGTGGTTGGAAATTAAGTCCAGTGGAAGAGATTAAATGTGCTGGGGTCATTTTAGCTGAAGCTGTGGCCTCAGCAGGCCACTCCTCCAGACTCAGCAAACACCATCCCCCACCCTTGCTGGTGGGCTAGGAGCCCAGAAAGCACCCTGGGAAGGGCAAGGCACGGGCGCTGGGTGCCTTGGGTCAGCAGCCATTCCTGAGATCGGGGTGCCCAGGCCTGCGCCAGCCCCTGCCTTCAGAGAAGGAGCTGATCCTAAGCAGAGGGCCTCAGCAGGGCATTGCTTTCGCTCTGCGCCCCTCATGGGACCCCAAACTTCAGTAGCTTCCCAAGTCTAGAAAACAGGGAGTCCAGTACAGGGCAGGTGACAGGATATGGAAGGGCAGAAAAATTGAAGGAGTAGGGAGTGGGAGGCTGAAAGGAACAAGAGAGCAAGAAGTCCAGAGAAACTGGCCTGATGCTTTATTCTATGCATCTTCCCACTTGGCCAAACGGGGATTATTAGACCAGGAAAGAAGACCCCTGAGAGTGAACCGGGCCCAGAGAAAGGGTCCAGGAGAAGGGAGTCTGGGTCCTTCTGAAACTTGGGAGAACAGAAAATTGTGCTCCCGTAGCCTGCCATGTGACTTTGGTGTGCGTCTCCAGCCGGCTTCAGTAGGGGGGAACCGGCTGGGACCACGGAGGCAGATGCCCCTAGAGGAACAGGGAATAGGGGCTGCCCGGGGCACGCTGGGCTCTGCCTGACCGGCACGGTGCTGGCAGTAGAGGAAGGGGTGCCCGAGATCGCGAGCGGGGGGGGGGGGGGGGCTGGGGAGGGCCCTTCTGGCCCCGCTGTTCCCTCCACCCCTCACCAAGCTCCGTGCCTTCAGGGTTAGGGGGTAGTGTTGCCGGAGAGCCAGCCTCGCTCCCGCACTTTCCAGTTCACCCTGTCACCGGGTGCCTCCCCCGAGCTGCAGAGGGTGGGGGGCGGGAGTAGGGGGAGCCAATCCCAGCAGCGCCAAAGGGGGGAGGCGGCAGTGACAGCCGCGGGGAGGGGGCGGAGGAGAGGCGGCTCGGCTCCGGCTCCGCACTCAGCTCGACTGTGCCTCCGGCTCTGCGCTCACCTGCTGCCCAAGCCTCCCGCTCCTGTCCCAGGTCCCCGGAGCAGGCCCCGCATCCCGGCCCCAGACCCAACTCTCCCCACCCTCAGCCCCGGCCGCGTGCTACGCCGCCAGGGGGCGCCGTGTGAGCGCCCTATCCCGGCCACCCGGCGCCCCCTCCCACGACCCAGGCGGGAGGGGGGCGCCGGGGGCCATGCGGGGCCAGGGCCGCAAGGAGAGTTTGTCCGATTCCCGAGACCTGGACGGCTCCTACGACCAGCTCACGGGTGAGTCGTTGGCGTGGGGGTCGCGGGAGGGAGGGTGGATTCCATCCCCCGTGACCCTCCTACCTCTCTGACCCTGGCCTGGCCTCTACCCACACTCTGCCCCTATTTCCAGGCAGTCCCCGCCCCCTCCTCCGCTGGTCTGGAAGGCAGGACAAGGGTTCAAAGCTTTGGATCCCGTGAGGGGGGTGGGGGAGGAGCAGGTGGGGCAGGTGTAGGGAGGCAGCAGGTGTGGGCGTATGACACCGGGCTGGGAGGGTGTCTAGAGTGGGAGGTGTTACGTTCGTGAGCACCTGTCATTCTTGTGTGTGTCTCTGTGTGCACCTCCCACAGCTGGTTGCCATGTGCCCTCGACTTGGTGACGGCCAGGATGAGTGTGACTGCGTGTGGCAGTGCGATTGTGTCTTGTCAGTTGGTTGAGCCGGCGAAGTTGTTTTGACCGTGTGTCTCTGTTGTATGTGCAACTCTGTGCTTGGAGTGATTCTGTCTGAGGTGGCATGTGACTGCCAGAATGTGGCAGGGCTCCACTTTGTGATGGTGTCACTTTGTAAGACTTTATGACTGTGAACCTCCTGGCTTCTGTTGTGTTTTGTGATTGTGAGACGGTTCCGTGAGTGTGTAATGCTGGTTGTGTACTTTTGTGCGGTGGTGTCTGCAGTGGGGCTCTGTGAATGTCCGTGACGTGTCTTACCCTTGCCGCCTCTCGCTTCCCGGTGCAGGAAGCCCTTCAGTGATCCCTGCTGCTTCCACAAGTCTTCCACAAATAGCCCATGTGGCCCCAATGAAGGGCTCTGTGTCCAGCTGCCCATCCTGGAGCCAGGGCCACCCCCTGGGTCCAGGATGTGGCCAACGTAGGGGTGCTTTGTTTAGTGTTGGCTCAGCTCCCCCACCCCCAGTCCAAGAAAAAGGACTCAGATCATTCTGACAAGAGAAGCCCCTTCACCCCACACAGCCCTCCCAAAACGTCACCCAAACCCCGAAGCAGACACCGCTTCTTGCCTTCCTGCAGAGCCAGAAAGAGCAGTTCTAGGCCTGGGGCGGACCATGTGGCCTCCCCCTCCCTGCCCCCAGAGCACTTTGCTGCCTGGGCACCCTCTCGTCCCCACCTTGGGAAGGTGTGTGAGGCCAGGACCTCTGCCTACGTTCTGGGCTTGGCAGGCAGACCAGTGTTTGTTTGGTGACTGCATCACCTCGTGTGCATTTCGCAGTGTGTGTGTTTGTGCCTCTCCTTGGCAGCCTGCGTAAGAACTTCAGCAGGGTGGGAGGAGGGCGGCTGTCTCCCCTGCAGCTGAAACAAAGCGGGGGAAGCAGGGGAGGGCCTGATCCTGGGGCTTCCTAAGGGGGCTGAGCTGGAGCCTTGGGAAAGGTGGTGAGTGGTGCAGTTAGGAAGTGGGGCCTGGGGCTCAGGTGTCCTCTCCACTCACTGACCCTGGGAGGCCCTGGCTGCTTTGCCAGGACCCCCGGATGGGGAAGCCTTCAACTCAGGCAGGCTCCAGGTGTGGCAGAGTGCCAGCGGTGCCCCAGAACAGGATGGAATCCATCCAAAGGCCCAGCTCTGCTACGACTCTGCTCCCACGATCAGCTCAGGCTCCTTAGAGTATCGAGGGCTGGGGGACCTTAATCAGCATCGCAGTAGTCAGTGTTTGCTTCCTGCTTTAATCCTTTCCCCACTTGGCTGATTGGATCAGAGGTGAGGTAGGGGGCGCTGGTATTGGAGCCTACATTGCCTCAGATCAGCCAGGTAATGGACGAACACCAACTGAACTGTACTCTCCTGGCCTCATTTTTCTTTATCTGTAAAATGGGGAGCACTACTTCCTGTCTGCCTGCCTGCCTGGTAGCCTCCCAAGGGAGCCAGAGAGGGCCGATGTTGACGGGCGTCACAGATCGAGGGCCTGGTCACCAGGCGAAGCAGATAGCTCCACACGTGACTCGGACTACCAGGGGGGTCTCCTCTCCAAGGAGGGCTGGAGACCCATGGGGGGGGGGGCGCAGGCTGATGGGAGGCGGCGCCGCAGAGCGCTTCCCCAGGCGCCTGAGCCGAGGCCGAAGGGGAAGCGTTGTCCGCGGTGCTGAAGCGCGTGCCCCGGCTCCCGATCCCTTCTCTTGGCAGGCGGGGCCCCCGAGATCCGACAGGGAGAAGTCTCCAGCTCTCCTCACCCTGGCCCATCAGGCCGACAAGCAGGAGGCGGCCCCGAAGTTATACTTCAGGGCATCACAGGTTCCTGCACTGCTCTCCTTCCCCATGCCCGCTTAAGACAGGTGTGTTCCCCCCAACTCAGGAATCCGAGCCCTACCGCCCCCCAGCTAACCCCTCAGGTCGGCCTGGCCCTCCAGAGCCGCTGGGTGGTGCGGGTCGGTGGGGGAAAAGTGCTGCCCTAATGGAAGCAGGGAGAGAACAGCAGAAGGTGGGAAGCGAATGGACCCGGCTGGCCAGGCCTGAGCTCCGGTCCCCGTCCGGGATCGCCCAGGCCTGGCCCTCCGGCCCCGGGTCGTTTCCGGGACTGCGGCGCCCCCGTGTGGCTCGGTGCGGCCATACGTGCGGAGCTGATCCCAAATGGGGACTGTGGCCAACTGAAGTCGGCAAGATTTGGACAGAGTTGGGCGGTGACTCTCGCCTCTCCAGTGTAGGCTTTTAAACCTGAGGAATGGGATCCTAGCCGAAGGACTACGACTCTGTCTCCCCTGCAAGCTCTTCTAGGAGTCTGAAGGCATGAGAGGCTCCTGGAAGGCTCGACTTCGGGTTTGACCTGACAGGGATGAGCCCGGGAGAAGTGGGTGTGGGGACCGCAGGTCGGGGGGTGTCCCATTCGACGCCTTTGCCTGGTGGCCAGCCGACATAACGGCTGAGCCTGTGAGCGCGCGCGACCGAGATAAAGAGACGCAAACGAACCGGAGAAAAAGGGAGTGGGAACCAGGAGCCGAGTATCAGTGGGGCCCAGCGCTGCGGCCTCTTCCTCGCCACCCCAAAAACCCTCGCCGGCCTCTCTCTTCCTCCTCCCATTGGTCCCAGAACTATGGTAGTGTGGGGAGTTGCCATGACAACTGTGTCCTCGTACTCCTTCGCATTGCTATACAAACCTGGGGCGGGGGGCGGGCAGGGGCTTGATGGGAGGTGGAGGGGCTGACAGGGCGCGATAAAACATGAGGTCAATTCTCCATCCAGCTTTGTTCCCAAAACCCGTGTGTGTCCAGCTTCCCCGCCAGAAACACAGAAGACGTCCCCGGCCCGCGCCGCTCCTCCCGCCCCACCCCAGTCCAGGAACTTTGGGGCGAGGGCTTCAGGGGATGGGGCCCGCCCGGGGGAGTCCGCCTCGCGCCAGCAGGAGCAGAGCGGAGGCTGAGAGCTTGCGCCCGCCCACGCACGGCTGCCTCCGTTGGGGCGGGGACCCGAGCGCTCTGGTCTTTCTTGCGGGCGGAGCTTGGCCACAGAGCTCCCGGTGCAACATGAGCCGCTGCCCCCGCAGGTGCCGGAGCCCGTTGGGGCAGGCAGCGCGATCCCTCTACCAGCTGGTGACTGGGTCGCTGTCGCCAGGTAGGAGCCAGGAAAGGGAGGGGCGGGACCCCGAGAAAGTGAGTGAGGTGGGGAGGGAAGGGCTGCTTCAGGTGAAGGGAGCAGGTGCTCTCAAAGTCCAGGGTCGGAAGGGCCGGATCCGTGTGACTGAGGTGGAGCAAGGGATGGGGTCCCTGCCACAGAAGGGAGGTTGAGGCTTCGGCAAGGAGAGGTGAGGCCGGGGCTTCCCAGTGATGGCAGAGGAGGGGCCCTGGGTGAGGGGCTGCTGTTGGAGAAGAGGCCTTGCCCCTCTCTGGTCGGCTTGGCTTAAGGGAGTCTGGGGGTGGCAGATGGGTCAGTGTCCAGGAAGGAAAACCCCTGAGACCAGGCTGGACCGCCGGGGTGGGCTGTCACTGCCCTGTCTCCCCCTGGGAGTCCACAGACTGTGTCGCCACGTTGGCATCCCCGGGACTGTGCCTCCTGGGGCCGCGGCCCTGGGCTTCTTGTGGAACAGAGCACGTGGCTCTAAGTTCTGTGCTCCAGGGCTGGGGGCTCAGAATCTCCAGGTGAGCTGTGTGGCCTCTGTGAGGCTGGACCCTGCTGTGAGATTTGTGGACTTTGGTGACGTGTGGATTGTGGGTGCTCTGTGGCCTTGCTGAGATTTGTACATCTCCACTGGGATTTGCTTCAGGCTCCCTGGGCAGGGCCCGCAGAACCTAGCATCCCCTCCCCACTTTTTTAGCCTCCAGGAGACTAAAACAGCCTCCCCCGTGGCATTCTGGGATCTGTAGTTCCCCAGCTCTTTCCATTTGTACCCACTTAGCCCCTGGGGTGTTGGTAGGGCCTGTGTTCCCCCAGAAGGAGGGGCGATGGGGCTGTGCCAAAGCTAGACTGAGAAGTCTCCTGGGGAGCATACGTCTGAAGCCCCCTGCCTGGGCCTGTCCCCACTGACAGATGGCTGGAGCCAGGCAGGGCCAGCTCTCAATCATTTCAGGCATGACTTCCAGGACCCAAAATAGTGCCGCCATCCAGGGAAGTCATTAATCACTGGGTGCAGCTGGGGGCTGCAGTGCCTCCCGGCCTGGCTGGGGCTGGAGTGGGTCTGTCGGACTGAGAAAGGGCTTTGGGGCTTCCCTGAGGAATGGTGAGGGAGCAAGGGCAGCCTGGGGAAGGTGGGCCAGGGCCCCCACAGGCAGCACTGCCACAGCGTGGACCTGTGGGAGGTGCACAACTGATGGGAGGTGGCTCTGGCGTGAGATCTGAGGGGTCCCGGAGGGCCAGCACCAAGGCATGGTCCCCCTGAGTCCTGCCTGAAGGACTTCCCTTGGGATTTTATTTTTTAAGGTTTATTTATTTATTTGAGAGGCAGAGTTACAGTCAGAGAGAGAGAGAGAGATAAAGAGAGAGAGGTCTTCCATCTGCTGGTTCACTCCCCAGATGGCTGCAACTGCCAGAGCTGGGTAGATCAAAGCCAGGAGCCAGGAGCTTCTTCCGGGTTTCCTGTGTGGGT